ATAGGTATATTGGTTCTACAACTCAGTGAACATCCTTTGATAATAAATTTCAGAAGAGGCAAACATATGACTAGTTCACTAACACGGCTTCCCGGTTGAAGTCCTAAATGTAATAACTGTCCTAAATGTAATAAAGTCCTAAATGTAATAAAGTCCTAAATGTAATAAGCCTCCAATGTAATGGTTTAACTCCTTCAGCGCATTGTTGTTATGGCGGACATCCACATTGAGATGTTAAAGTGACGACTGTCGCACTAAAAAAAACCGCTGACCAGTATTCATGTCACATTACGGGCTCGCTGATATCAATCAGCGTCTTTTTACTTGCTAGACATAAGAAATATCAGCAGTCGAAGTATGGTCCTTTAAGCGGTTTAGAAAATCATTTCCAGCCCAAAGTGGGCTAGTGCTTGGCTGGAAGCTCAATAGGATGGAATCGATTAGTGCGTAATCACTAGGACTTTTTGGAGAGGAAATTGACTACAATTGATGTTGAACTAGCATGCTATTGTTAATGTTATCGTTCGTGTTAAAGTCTTTAGTAGTCATGCACCATTTTAGAGCAGTTTTAATGATTTCGTTGTGTCACATTTTAATCCAAAAGAAAAGCATTATTATCAGTAGTGTTACTGAAATTTTGCACATCAATATTATTCATTGTCAATTGATTTTAATGAAGTATTTTGAGTTCATTTTTAAGAATGACTATCTTGATTTATTCAATTTTGAACCTGAGATATTGCATTTGTAGCCCTCTATGGCTTTACTGCACCTCAGTAATCAGTTCATGTACCATATGACTATAAGTGGAAACTGTTGAGCTTTCTTTTTTCATTCATTTATTTATCTATTCATTTTCTATCCTCACGGCGGGGAGAAGAGATGAAGACAAAAAGTGAAATATAAACTTGAGATCATCTGTAAAATATATGTTTTTTCAGTATTTCGGTTCGGGAACTGATGAACCAGTCATTAAGGGGCTTAAGGAAAAAAATGAACGATTCATTAGACCATCAACTGACCATCGTGTGTTGAATGTTGTAGCTCAATGGTTCAATTTGACTTTTGCGTGGAAAAAAGGCAACATGTCGAGACCTGTGATCGTGAAATGGGATAATATATGATTTGTCAGTCGATATCTTGCTCTGTAAGTCACTTTATCATGATATAGCTAGCAGCAGGTAAGATGAAGTGAATCCTGTGTTCTGATTGGCTACCTGAGCGGGCATGATGGGCCCACCCTCGCCCGCTCGGGATTCCCCGTATTGATCCCATGCAAGAAAACTTACAAAGTTCGTAACTTTTGGAAAATGTCGGCATATACATAGAAAAAAATAAACGACCCTCTTGGGTTTATTGTGCTGCAAACACAGTTGGCTTTCTCTATCGGCTCTCGAAATAAACAAGCCATTCTTGATTCTTATCAAAGCGAAATCTTTTGCTATACAATGAATCTTTTGCTATACAGTGAATCCTTTAATGACCAAGCCAAGAGAATACAAACTCTCTTGACCAAGCTTGTTCGGTCAAGATGACTGGATATTAGCCTTGTTCTTTTTTAACTTTTTATGGACCGAGACGAAGTCTCGGTCCATAAAGACGCAAAAAAAAAAAAAAAAAAAAAAAAAAAAAAAGGAACTCGGCCAATATCCAGCCATTTTGACCTCATGCTTGGTCAATAACGCATATGAATACATTTTGTTCAGACCCATACAAATCTGGCAAGGGAAGACAGTACAAAAAATGCTCTTCCGAGCCCGGAATTTGTCTAACGTATAAGTCGGTGGACTTTCTTTTCCTTGTAATTCAGTTCATGAATTGTTAACTTCAGCACTGATCACACAAGTATATCGTCAAAACCTGTTACACTTAAGAGTCTGAGCCAATGATATAAAGAGAGCTATTGATCAGCGTTCTCATTCCTTTGCGTCCGTCAATTTGATGCCAAAAGCACATCAGTATAAGGTTTTGTAGCCAATGCTTCTCAACATACGTCTTTAGCAAATAAAAAGACGCTGATTAATATCAGCGAGCCCGCAATATGCCATGAATATTGGTCAGAGGATTCTTTAGTGCAACAGCTGTCACTTTAGCATCTCAATGTTAGCGCAGTCAAACGGCTGCATAGGAGGCTTATTACATTTAGGACCGAACGTTATTACATTTAGGGCTTAATGTTATTACATTTAGGACTTTATAACATTTAGGACAGTTATCACATTAGGACTTCAACACCCGTAAGACGGCGGTAGAGAAAAAAACACAACAAGACTGCCAAGGCTGACACGTTTGAGAGCCGCCATCTTTGATTTGTACGAAGTAGAGAGGCAATTACTCAAAACAAAGATAAACATTTTACTGGAAACCAGTAAGAATTCGGAGTTAAATCGTAACTGACATTAAGTGACGGATAATGGAAGTGAAACAACTGGTGCGACCTCAAAAACTAATTGAGAGTCCGTCGCGAGTTTTCAAGACAAAAAACCCGAGGATAAGTTAAACAAGGAAAACAGTCAAATAAACAAACAATGAGATCCCGATTATGTCTGACTGTCTGATCGTCGATTGGAAAAGGCACCCATACCATCAACGAAACATAACATATCACAGTGAACTCGCAGGTTTAGAGTCTACCAAACTATAAACTTAATATAAATCAAGCTCTGGGAATGTAATATTTCTGAGGTCTGCTTGGACGAAGGAAATATAAACAGCAAAATTGTACGTTTTAATGAAAGGCTTTTTCTTGCCTACTTTGCAGTTACGTTTGGTTTGCACTTTGATCACGTGTTAGGCTGGTGGGAACAAAGGGACGACCCTAACATTTTGATTCTTACTTATGAGGACAGAATAAAGGTAAGAAATCATAGTCAACCGTTTATGGATCCTAAAGCTCTTGTAAATGTATAATATAACCCTCTATTTCGCTTAAGGATTAAGGTTTTTTAGTATTTAATTCGCCAGGGCGTTAATCAGGCTAATCTTTGTGCATGACTTGCGGATGTAAAAAATAAATAGATACCAGAAAGAGAACTCGCGTAACCAAGTGTTTTCAATATTTTCGACAATTTAAAACAGTTTAAGTCTTTAACAATTAACATGGATTTGCATGTATGCATGATAAGATTTTGTTTGTCGCCATGCAGCTTTTCCTCTTACGGTTCTTTAATATGTGAGCAACTAAACCATTTTGTAAAGAAACGTCGCTGAACTCCATCAAGGCTACAATGTTTCAGTTAAACCGCTAAAACTAAACCCACCAAAATCAAAGTGACACTACGCGCTCGTCGTAAACACTAGAAAACTGTCGCACTCAGGATGTGTTAAGACCGACTGTACCTGTTTCAAGGGAAAGTTCCAGCGAGTTTCAATACCCAAATAAATGCAAAGATAGCTACGTATAACGTTATTTTGACCAATCACATTGGAGATCCAGTAATTGGAGCAAACCACAGAAAAACCTGAACTTATTAGCGTCATTCTGCGAGATTCGCAATAATAGTTAGTTATAAAATGTTATTCTTTAAGGATCCAGGAGATGCTGTTGACAAGATAGCAAACTTCCTTCGTAAAAAGATCTCCCCTGAAACACGTGACCTTATTGTCAGACAAACGTCCTTTGACGCCATGAAGAGCTCCAGTCACACCAACTTTACTTGGTTTGAAGGAATCAAGGGGGATGGCTATATAAGAAAGGGTCAAGTAGGAGGATGGAAAGATTACTTCACTGAAGAACAGAATGAGTTGTTTGATAAGGTTTTCAGTGAAAGAGTTGGAGATGGTGAGACTGCAGCTAAATTAAGAGAACTGCTGTCACTGTAGTAGCCCCGAAATGAAACAGAAATTCAAATTGAAATAACAGACGCGCTTTGTTTAATGATTATGTTTGTACGCAATGAGCACCCATTAGGAATTTAACCCAAATGTTGATGATAAAGTTAGCAGTATGGGTTGGGATTATTAGAGAAGATTTTAAAAATGCATGGACCTTCTAGGCTGAGGAAATTTTTTGTTTTTATATCAAATTTAATTTTAGTAATAACACGCAGATTGCATAATGTTGAGCCTGTTTAGAAGTTTTGCCTGTTTAAGACTCAAACTCCCAACACCGTACCATGCTTGGCCCTGTGAGAGATTATTCAGCGTTAATTGATTTCCGGTTGATTTTTTGCGATAAGTGACAGATGATTGAACAATAGGATCATATTATATATTTAAAATGAGAGAGACCAGAGCGTGGGACAGAGAACGGTGAGAGAGAGAGAGGGAGGTTAAGTTGATTTTATAAAATAAAACGTGAAGTTTCGGAACATAGCAGATTCTTTAGTCTCATTTCCGACACAGTGGCACCTCCGACGGGACGCGCGAAGCATGGAGGAACTAACCAAAGAAGCAGAGGCTAAATTGCAGATGTTGCTGTACACTAATGGAAAAACACGTGGCATTGTGGAAAAGGGAAACATAGGAGCGGTCGCGCGACATCGCGGCAACCTACAAGCATTAGTAAAAGAAGTAGACGCGCTTAAACTAAAGGTTGAACAGACCATGTTCAAGGCCGGGAAAAGTGCAGAAGACGTTGGAAGTTGGAGCAGTAGCATTGAAGAACCGATCGCCGAAGCTGACGAAGAAGTTTCGCGACTAGAAAAATGGCTCGTGGAGACGAATGGAGAGATCGAACATCGAAAGCACAAGGACGAAGAAGAAAGGAAAGCCCGTGCTCGTGAAGAGAAGCTTAAATTCGAAAGAGAGCAAATGGAGATGAAGCTAGAATTCGAACGCCAACTGGATGAGACCAAGGCAAAACAGCAACCTGTTGAGAAGGCCAATCAGATTGAACAAAGGACAACAAAGCTACCGAAACTACAGATCACAAAGTTTAATGGGACGTATGAAGCATGGCTGCCGTTCTGGAATAAATTTCAGCTGAAATTGATAAAGCAAACCTTGCATCTGTGACCAAGTTTGCATACCTAAAAGAGCTGGTAGATCCAAAGGTTCGAGCGGAGATAGACGGACTGCCTTTCACAACAGAGGGCTACGAAAGGGCAAAGAATATCCTCATCGGCGAATATGGGAAAACGAGCGAGATCGTGAATGCGTACGTCCAGAACATCGCGAATTTGCCTGTCATTACGGGAACACAACCTGCGCCTATCCACGAATTTTACAAAAAGCTCGTGTACAATGTGCAATCTTTGGAGACACTGGGCAAATTGAAAGACGTCACTGGAAATGCAAGGAGTGTGCTCGACAAACTAAAGAGTGTAAAAGCAGATCTAGTGAGAGGACAAATGGACTGGCAGGACTGGGACTTCCCACAGTTGATAAAAGCTTTGAAAAGTTGGAAGGAAATCAACCCCATTGGGAGCGGCGCGGATAATGCGGGGAAGCAAGGTGCTAAATTCCGCGATCGCGAGAAAACATTTCACGCAAACGAAACTACGCCAACACAAAGAGGGTGCGTCTACTGTGACGCAACTGACCACAGAGCTGTAAATTGCGACAAGTTTGTGACAGTTGGAGACCGCAGGAAGCAATTAGGACTGAAACAGCTTTGTTTTAATTGCACAGGAAGTCGACACCGTGCTTCTGTGTGCAAATGCCGTTCTGGCTGCCAGATCTGCAGTCGAAGACATCATACATCGATCTGTGACAAACATACATCGCGAGACCAGCTGATGACCACAACGAGCGCAGAAAGGAAAGGAGTGGTATATCCTATGGTTACAGTTGACGTGAACGGTGTTAAATGCCGAGCATTGTTGGATACAGGAGCCGGAAGTTCCTACGCTTCATCAACGCTTCTGAACTGTTTACATTTGCGCCCTATCCGTCAACAATTCAAGCGCATTGAAATGATGTTTGGTACTTCAAACAAAGCGATAGACATCTATGGCCTACAAATTCGAAGCGTTGATGGTAAATTCACCTTGGAAGCTGAAGTAAACAAAGTCGACCGCAATGAGCTGTTGACATTGGAAAACCCAAAATGCGCAGAAATCGTAGCTCAGTTTTCTCGTTTGAAGGGCGTAACCACAAATGATAACGACGAGAAAGCGATGTTGCCTGTTCATCTGATCCTTGGAACAAACGAGTACGCTAAGATCAAAACAGGGGAAAGACCAAGAGTTGGGCGCTCGGGAGAACCAGTAGCAGAATACACGAAGTTCGGCTGGACGATCTTGTCACCTGGAACAGAGTTGGATCTCAGCAACATGTTGTTAACGCAGACCTCCGCAATTGATTACGAAGAATTGTGCAAGTTAGACGTCTTGGGGTTAAAGGACAATCCAAGTGGAGACCAGGAAACCGTTTACGAAGAATTCAAAGAGCAACTAACTAGGAGTTCAGAAGGCTGGTACGAGACGAACTTGCCCTGGAAAGGAAATCACCCCCCCCCCCCTACCGAACAATCACACTGGAAGTTTAAAACATCTCAAAAATCTCGTGCGGAAGTTAGAGATACAAGGCGAGCTGGAGAGGTACAACGACATTATCCAGACTCAACTGAGTCAAGGGATCGTAGAACACGCTGACGAGGTGGTCAAGGACGGAAAAGAGTTCTACATTCCTCATAAAGCGGTCGTGCGCAAGAATGCAGAATCTACAAAGATACGCATTGTTTATGATGCTTCTGCAAGAGCTAATGCAAGTGTCCCCTCACTCAACGAGTGCCTCGAAATCGGCCCTCCACTACAGAACCAGCTTTGAAACGTGCTGGTACGAAATAGGTTCTATCCCGTGGCAATAGCTGGCGACTTAAAACAAGCATTTTTGCAAATTCGCGTCCGAAGAGAAGACCGAGATGCCTTACGCTTTCATTGGATAAAGGATCTGGCAAGCAAACAAGTAGAAACCTTGCGATTCACTCGAGTACTCTTTGGTTTGGCACCGTCTCCATTCCTCTTGGCCGCAGTTATCAAAGAACATCTACAGCGATACAAAATGGTGAACCCGGAATTAGTAGAGGAGATAGAGCGCAGTATGTACGTGGATGATTTAATCAGTGGTGGGGAGACAACAGAACAAGCGTTAGAAATCAAGATGACAGCCACGACCATCTTTGGTGAGGCGACTTTCAAGCTGCACAAGTGGCATTCCAACGACCGGGAGCTAGAAGTTGAAACTGCGACTGTAGATGAGGAAAGTCAGAGCTACGCCAAACAACAACTGGGAACCAGAAAGGGCGAATCAAAACTGCTAGGAGTCCCCTGGGACAAAGAAAAGGACGAAATTCAAGTCAGCTTCCCGATTTCAACCGCTGAGCCGACAAAAAGAGGTATTCTTGGAAAAGTCGCAAAAATCTACGATCCACTCGGTCTGGCTTCACCCGTGACCCTCTCTGGAAAAATGCTCTACAGAGATGCCTGCGACACGAAGATCGCGTGGGATAGGCCCTTACCAAGTGACTTACAAGCCAAATGGAAGAAATGGGAGCAAGGACTTCCAGAGCACGTGAACGCGCCACGAAATGTCGTCAAGCATTTAGGGAAGATATTATCAATCGACTTACACACATTCGGGGACGCAAGCGGGAAAGGAGTTGCAGCCGCGGTTTATGCAGTGGTGGAGCAACCATCAGGCACGAATCGAGGCCTCGTGACGGCAAAGTCGCGGCTCGCGATGAAAGGACTCGCGATTCCCCGATTAGAACTAGTGGCTGGACATATGGCTGCGAACCTAGTACAAAATGTGAAAGAAGTCCTGAAGGGTTTTCCCGTAAGAAGTGTCTATGGTTGGCTGGATAGCACAGTCGCACTGCATTGGATCCGTGGTAATGGCGAATACAAACAGTTCGTGGGAAATCGAGTGAGGAAGATCCAGGAAAAAGAAATAAACTGGAGGCATGTACCAACAGAGGAGAATCCTGCGGACGTGGGGAGTCGGGGAGGAGATGTTAGTAGATTGACAGCTCTTTGGTGGCAGGGACCAAGCTGGTTAGCAAAACCGCAGGACTGGCCGCCAGACCTTGTAACGACATCTACTCAAGAATCAAAAGCGGAAGAAGTGAAACAAACTCGCGAGTTGTTTGCTCTAGCAGTAGAGAAAACAGAGAACAACGACGCCTTCGATGCGCTGCTGGAGAAGTACGAGCTGTGGCGTGTGTTGCGAGTGGGTGCTTGGATCTGGAGATTCCTCCACAACATAAGAACCGTCCGTAAACAGAGAATCGTTGGTCCCCTTACAACTGAAGAAATATAGAAACAGACAACGTTCTGGATCAAGCGATCTCAACAACAAGCAAAGTCGAGCCAGAAATTTGAAGAAGACCGTTTACAGTTGAATGTGCAAGGAAACCAAGAGGGAATATTAGAGTGTAGGGGAAGAATTCAAGGCCATTACCCCATCTTTCTGCCAGACTCTTTGCCCTTCACTCGCAAGTTAGTTCACCGATCACATGTCGACACACTGCACGGAGGAGTGGCCCTTACCATGACCAAAGTGCGAGAGCTATACTGGGGCACTCGTAAAACAAGTTCTCAGAGCATGTTCAGGCTGCAAGCGTTTTCAGGCCATGGCACTGGCAACGCCGCCTCCCGGACTCCTACCCACTGACCGCACAGAGGGGAGCACCCCATTTGAGGTTATCGGAGTCGATTTTGCAGGGCCCATCAAGTACCGTATCAGAGCCAAAACAGAAGGAAAGGCCTATCTTGCATTGTACGCGTGCAGTCTTACCCGAGGATTATTCCTGGAAGTACTACCAAACCTGGCAACCAGTGAATTCCTAAGAAGTCTAAAACGGCTCATCGCGCGCCGTGGGCGTCCGAAGAAGATATATTCCGACAGTGGCAAAACCTTTGTTGGCGCCGAGAAGTGGCTCAAACAAGTTATGCGTGACGAGAAGACACAAGATTACTTAGCACATGAGAACATCAAGTGGCAATTCAACCTCAGCCGCGCCGCTTGGTGGGGAGGACAGTTCGAGCGCCTCATCGCACTGGTAAAAAACAGCTTTAAACAAGACTATCGGATGCGGAATGTTGACCTGGACAGAGCTGTGTGAAGTGATACTGGATGTGGAGATTGCTTTGAATAATCGCCCTTTATGTTACGTCGAAGACGACATACAGTTATCCGTGCTTACCCCTAACTCACTGCTATTTCTTCGATCAAACCAGCTACCAGAACTGGAACCACACCATCTAAGAGAATTTGATCTGCGTAGAAGAGCTAAATATTTGCGAAGGTGCAAGCAGGCTTTGTGGACCAGGTGGACTACCGAATATTTACGAGGGTTGAGAGAACGACACCGGATGAAACACAAGGGTCAAACCACGCCCTTGGCCAAAGGAGAGGTAGTCATCATCAAGGACGAGGAACGAAATCGCAATAAATGGAAAATTGGAATCGTAGAAGATCTGATTTCGGGACGAGACGGAATCGTTAGAGCTGCCAAACTTCGAGCGGGGAAAGGAACACTTGAACGGGCGGTACAACACCTTTACCCACTGGAGCTGTCCTGCGATCGGGAGAATGTACAGGCTCCTCTACAGCTCAACCCCGTAGCCCCGACATTCAGGCCCAGGAGGGATGCAGCGGTAGCCGCTCGTTATCGCATTCAAGATGCGAACATTGATGCTGATTAGAGATATTTAGGAACACTGAACTGATATACTGGACTAATTTTCTGTTTCGTTCATTGAATTTCAAATTTCATCGAGTGCGCCATTCTAGCGTTTTTTCTCCGTTGAAAAAACAGCTTGGCCCTGTGAGAGATTATTCAGCGTTAATTGATTTCCGGTTGATTTTTTGCGATAAGTGACAGATGATTGAACAATAGGATCAAATTATATATTTAAAATGAGAGAGACCAGAGCGTGGGACAGAGAACGGTGAGAGAGAGAGAGGGAGGTTAAGTTGATTTTATAAAATAAAACGTGAAGTTTCGGAACATAGCAGATTCTTTAGTCTCATTTCCGACAGCCCCACATTCCCTTCCGGTCTATCGATTCTAAATCCAGCCAACCCACTAGTGCAACAGCAACAGAGTACGACGACGACAGGTGACAACAAAGGTGTATTGATTTCAGTATAATAAATGAGAAATACATGGGCATTGGTAAAAGTAGTTTTTGTTTCATAGTATTTGGGGCTTCACCTGAAACGTTCTCACATATACAAACAAACGAACAAAAGATAAAAGAAATAAAATGAAAGCGTAATGATTAGAAAAAAAATTCACTCAATGATGATGAAATACATTGGATTCTTATTGGGTGTATCCCACTTGACAATGCATCGCTGATTGGGTTAATTAATTGCTGTCGCATTTGAGAGACTTAGTCCTCAGAGAAAGGCTTTTTTTTCTCACAACGACCGTTTCTGAGAAACCAGAGTTATACCGCACGTATATGGGTTCAAGACTGATGAACTGATAAGTGAAAACTGATGCTAATATTTGTATCTGATGTTATAGTTACGTACTAGGTCCGGAGGAATGCGACACGGCTTTGTTCGAAAAGATCAAGTAGGAAGATATAAACATAACTTTGTCGGAAAACAGAACAGTTTTTTTGATAAGGTGTAGGTTAATCAAGTTCATTTACAAATAAAAATTTGCCACCAACATGGATGTATGCGTGGAATTTCATTAAAGCGGAGGTGCTTGTGAGTTTCAATTTTCTTCCAATCGAGGGATAACTTATCTTGTTTCAACTTTGATGGTAGGGAAGAGAGTAAAGTGTGGGAAAGAGGAGCCCAGTTCACTTGCAAAATTCTTGAGGAAGGCTGGTGCAATAACACTAGTACAGATTATTTAGAAAAGTAAATTATTAACTGACATGACTTACCCTTTTGCTTAACGTTGACAGCAATCTTGAAGAAGTCAAAAAATACTTGGATTGTCCAGTAAATGGGAAATGAGTGCTCTAAGACTTTGGGGCATTTACTGGCTGTTAGATCAAGTAGACATTTTCTTGATGAACAGTTGGGGATATAGCCATGCTGTTACCAATATAATGGGAAATTTGAAATATTAAGCATCTTGAATATTTAAAAAATATACAAATAACATTCTTTAATAGTGATAACAGATGTACAGTAATGGACAATGCAACCAACTTGTACAAGTAAAGGTCACTGCTTCCTACAATATAAATTTGACTTTGATTTTACCAAACTGTCACATGTAGGTGAGTCACATGTTATCAGTATTATGTGTAACTGAGGAAGTACCAGTAAATCCCACAGGAATTAACTCAGTATGTACAGATTTGTATGGAAGTGTTGTCAAGCCAAAGAACAGTTATCATTAACACAGATTTTAATCAGTACCCTTACTAGCACAAAGGAAATTATGTAGGGGCTAAAATTAGCACACTCACTTAACACCTTCACTGTACCAGTGGCACAAAAGGCCCTCTTTACAGAGGCTTCATAAAATCTGTCATTTAAAGATCACATATAAGTACTTGGGGTAGAACAACAAAGTGTAGCTATTTGTTGCTGGTCTGAAGCTTCCAAGTTGATATTTGATTCATCTTCTGATAAAACACACAGTTCTGGCTGTTGGTCATGATGCCATCTAAGAGGGACATACCTCTGTGTGAGGTGGTGGGGCATGTTTTTAACTCTCAAAAAAAATTTAATTAATCCTCATCTTCACTTGGTTCTCCCTTTTCAATTCTGTTTGCCAAGTCTTTTACAAGAAACTCCAAGGAATCATTCTCTGTCAACCTTTTGACTGATTCACCCTTTTCAGCCAAGATATCTTCAATATTTCTGTAAAATATCATTCAACAGGCTTAAAGTAATAATTTAATCACATGGACCATTCAAGCTTGACTTCAGGTGTGATTGCATATGTATCTTGCATATGTATCTTGCATATGTATCTTGCATATGTGGGTAGGCATTGTATCAACTCACTCATTTGTGGATTTTCATTATTACTTTTATAAGGAAGTTAATGACTGAAATTAAACTTAAACTGACTTTCTATGAGTACAAAACACTGAGACAATGTGAAGGTGGTTTCTGAATAAGAAAAAGTTGATTTACAATCAACTCACATGGTATGTACATGTACAGTGCATGCCGTTTCGAGGAGAGACTGTGCATGATTTCTGAGGATTAACATATTCTGACTTTGGATGAATTGTCTCATCTAGTACAGATGCACATTTGGCAAAATGATTGGATACCAACAAAACAGAGGTAATACACAGTGTGTATGGGCAGTGTGGAACCAGTGGGAGGTGGATGGGGGGCAGCATTAGTGGTACTTTCTACTAATAAGCTAATAAGAATGTGCCAAAGGATGGGGTCACATTTTCATGACTGGGTTGATTACCACAGGTTTTCATTTTCAATAGAGTTGCTAGAATGAGGTTGAACCTTATTGGACATTTTGGGGGATAAGAAAATTCCAGTTAGTAGGAATTAAAAAATGGCAGGATCACAGTCAAGAGGTTCTAGGACTGGCCAAATAATATAATATAATGGGGTAGGGGTTCTTAAGGAACAGTAGCACATGCCCAGCATAGCATAGCCCAAGTTTCCCGAAGTTCCAAGTTCCCCGTCCCGGGGCCTGGGATCACTTAAACGTTTCCACAGCTGTACTCTTTCAAAAACCGTTTTTCCTTGAAAAAAAATACATCGAAAGTCATCAAAATTAACCCCCTGCTAAATTAAATTAAATGTAGAATTGAGGAAATGCATCTTTGGGGAATTAGGATTTTCACCAAAGAATGCAGTGTTTATGTCACATAAGCGTTTAGTTCTCTATCTCAGGCTCTATCTAACTCAAAGCAGTAAAGCAAATTTACCTGTTATCGTCATAAAACCATCCCAAGTTGTCGGCTATAAGATGATTGTTGTTACATCCAGGACATTTGACAATAACTACTCCTTTAGAATAGGCCTGTTTACTAATAAGCTTCTGTGATCGTGTTTCACACACTTTGCACGTGAATACTAGATGAAACTTATCACTTTGATCAATCGACCCCAGCGGTTTACAACCGCTATTCGTCGCCTTACTGCAAAAGCTACGCCATAAGGAACACGTTCTCGTAGATGTAGCTGTAGTTAAGGAAGTACTGAAACTAAAAGGTCTTCTTATCAAATGATTCCACGATACTTGTCTTAAGACGCGATGCGACCTTGCACACACGTTGGCCGCCATTTCACTTGTTACCTATGTGTTCATACACCAAACACGTTTTGAAACTCACTGACATCCGCTGGTATGAGCGCGGGCTTGTGTCTCGTCAGATATGGAGGAGAGGTCTGATACATATGGCGGTGTGGAGGAGAGGTACACTTCGCCTGCCCCAATATAATGTACTAGATCTTCTCAGCAGATCGAATTCGTTGAAGATCATATGCAGACGATGTGCAAGTCAAGCTCAAACGTCTGAGGATAGAAAACCACGCTCGATGGTTGGTCGATGTGGTTTATGTTACTAAACCCTGCATCAGTTTTCAAGTTTTTAGAAACTAGATGTATCTTCAGCTATTAATTACTGAACTGATTTGTTCCAAACATGGAAGTCAATGATCTTTCGTTGTTACTAATGATAAATTATATTTTTATGATTGCCCTTGCTCGTACATAGTAGAGCGAAGTACTAATGTCAGTAAATGTACACACACTAGATAGTTGTTATTTAGCTTTCTGTTCTAAACAAATGACTACTAGATTGGGTTTAATTTCCAGGCAATAGCGAGTCAAGGTGAACATTACTGTATAATGAATTGTTTTTGTTTTTGCATAGGTTGTTGGTTTGGGTAATCTTTCCCTTCCTGACACCCGCCACAGTGTGGGAATGCTTGTAGTTGACTCTCTTGCCAAGTATTTGGGAACTTCTTGGCATTTCAATAGGCAATCTTTGGGTTACGTAGCAGTGACAAAAGTTGGTCACCTAGAAATTATACTACTGAAACCTTATGTTGCAATGAACTTGAATGGAAGGAGCATTTCAAAAGCAGGTACCCTGGCTGTTAGATTATTCTCTAACTTATGACATGAATTTTGTGGTATTATTTAACATTGGTGTTGGGATAAAACTTGATATCATCTCTAAGTTTACACTTGACACCTAAGCTTCACTATGCATATTCTCCACACTGTTCTCCATAGATTTCTAAAGGTACTGGTTAGGAGAATTTGTTTAACAACCAGAGGCTTCTTTAGTTGATAATCATTTTCATTTATTCTGGTTACTTTTGTGTGTGATTCAGGGGTGATATTGTTGGAAAAAACTTGGTGCAAGTCACTCTTTGGGTTAAGGGGTTAAACCTCTTCTATGAGATTAGCGAGAAAGGGATATTATGCCAAGATAAGTTCTTGAAAAATTGTCAAGAGTTTGGCCCACACACAGGTCAGGCTAATGGAGTGAGATAGAATGCATCACTTTACTTTTTTAATTTCACAGTAATTCTTGTGAAAGAACTGCGGGATGTAGACAGTCAGCTCAAATTATGAACCTGATGAATTTACTTGAATAGTGATACCACAGACTTGATAACATTTCAACAAGCAGCAACATGTAATTCATGTTACTGTTCCTTTCTTATTCAGTCACAATGTATAAAGTGAACCCATCTGATGTTATTCTTGTTCATGATGACCTTGACAGACCTGTAGGGAAGTACAGTTTAAAACATGGAGGAAGTGCTGGGTGAGCTATGTTATACCAAGCACTACATGTACATGTTCTTCAGTATAACACCAATACACCTGCTTTTACAGAGTATAAGGCTGCCTATCGAACCGGCCTGCTTAGTCAGCTGCTATAGCTTTACAGTATGTAATATCATGGTTCCTATAGCATAAAGCTGGCAGTAAAAGTTGTTTAACCTTAGTTAACCCTGAGTAGCATTTTGACAATCTGCCTCTACTTATGTGTACAGATAGTTGAAATGTTTTTGTGTTTTAAATTTTTCCAAATCAGTGCTATTTTTATTTCCCCTAGTTCAGACTGACTTATAATGAAAATGAGATAATGTTAAGCAAAAATAAGCTAGTTTTAGCTAGAGATTTAGACTAAGGAATGGCAATTTAACCCCAATACAACCATGAGAGGCATAGTGAGAGAGCCATACAGAAAGTGAGAGAGAGCCAGCTATAAGGCCACAGCTTCTCCCACAACGTGTGATATGCGAAACAAGAAATTATAGTTCATGCACTAAATGTCATTTGTGACAATGTAAAATGCTTAGTGAAGATCTAACTTTGTTCACCTGGATGCAGAATTTCGATTCATGTATATAACATTTTTTGCAGGGGTCACAATGGAGTAAAATCAGCAATTGCATCTCTTCACTCTGATGTGAGTTACTGTGTTTTTCTTTTATTCTTTATTGTAATTGTGGACATTGGAAGAAGGAAAGAGGATTAAAGCTCAGCTATCAAAAAAAATTTTTTTTTTTCTCCCATCATAATTAGAGATCAGAGAATTCCCTGGATACTACATAAAATTCTCCACTTACAATTCAGTGGCCCAGCCTATTTTTTAATTGAGATATACAGACATTCAGTTCTGCTATTGCATTTCTTGATGAAAATCCAGCATTACACCCTTGGCATGACTGACTTTAGGTAGCAGTCTACCGATGTCGTATTACAAGACTGAGATGATGCATGTTATATCTTATTTGATGTGCATTTGTTTATTTATCTTAGAGCTTAAGGAGAGTTCGTGTAGGGATAGGGAGACCAAACAAGAGAGATAATGTGACAGAATATGTCTTGAGCAATTTTGATCCATCAGAGATGCTTGTCATGGAAAGAACAATAGAACAATGCTGTGATGTCCTCATGAAGGAGCTTCAGTTATTAAGATCTTAGGAGTGTCCACTTTAGTGAAGTTTGGAGGCAATAGTTTTAAAAACATAATTCTGCCATATTTATTTAGTTGCTTGCCTCCTAAAATTCAATCATTATTAATAGCATCTTCGACAAAGTTTATTTCAGCCTTGAAATTTCAACATAAATTTACACTCTCATTATCTTACTTACCTCAAATGTGTCCTGTTTAACCATTACCATCATTCATGACTTTGCCAGGTCTACTTGCCTCTCAAGAAAATAAGAAAAGAGTTACTTAATTTGATAGTAGCCATCTGTATTAGCAGATGTGTACAGGAAATGTACATAAGTACTTACACTGTAACTTTGCTAAAAATGTTCATGGCCATGCACTTTTACATGCACTTGAGAGAAGATAATTCAAATTGCATTATTATACCATTAAGTTAATGTAACTTTACTAATAGCCAAACCTGTACTATGCGGTCACCCACGGGGAATGGTGCTTAATACAGGTTCCACAGATTGGGGTAACTGAGAAATGTAATAACTATAAACATCAATTCGATGTAATTTCTAAACTGTACCTGTTCTGTGCATTTAACAGGGCAGGGCAGCGACTTTGAGGAGCGTTTTGAGCCGAATTCTACTGTATAATTTGGTTTTATCACCTGAGTTTTTAATGTAAATTGGCCATCAGAAACAACTTTACTGTGGCCATTCAACATTATCAACTCAGTTAATAAAACCAAATTATCTCGTTATACTTCCCCCACCAACGCAGCACTACAATTTCTCTATGAGTCCTACATTAGTCTGTACAGCTGGCGTTATTTTCCCCGTTTTTAAAGCGAATTCAGACAAGCACGAGAAGAGAGAAAGGAGGTCGTAACACTTGTCGCTTCTAGAGATCTACCTGAAAGAATCCGGCTATCGGGGCTTGATTAATGTAAAGAACTGCTCATAATTTGTACAGTTGATATTTGGAGGAACCCAGGCAGGCTTGGTTTAGGTTACAGCGGGCTGAAAGGAATTCAGCCTGGCGTAGGTATGATCAGACTTTGATGGATTATCCACAAGAGGGCTAACCCTGTTTTGGAATGAAATCTCATTTATTTATGCATGCATACTGATTTACATAGTTAGGTAAACTGATTGCTTTTAGAAAAGTTCAAGCGGCTCACTTGCTGACGTGAGAAAACTCGTTTGATTTCAAAAAGGAGAATGCATTTCTCCCACAAGACAGAAAGTCTTAAGCCTGTCTAGCGATGGCATATTTTACTTTTCAGAACTAACGCAAAAAATGCTTTAGCTGAGACCCAAACAAAATTAATAAAGGTACGCAGCTACATGTCGTGACAAAGAAGGGGACTCCCCTAATTAGCATGTATGCATTCATGCGATATTTCGGTGCAAGCATCGTGCTAAGATATGAATCTTTTTCATTTATCTCAAAATTTTGAGAAAAAAAGTACGATACCTGTTCACGTGAGAAACTCAATCGCGTAGCAGTAGCTGCGAGACGTAGGGTGAAGGCCTTCCAAAAGGGTGGCAGGACTGTCCGTCGACAAGCATGACTAAAGATAATTTGAAACAAGGCTGCGTCTTTGCTATTTTAACACCTAAGTTCACCGGGCAATAATCTATCGGCTAACAAATTTTATTAAATCGAAAAAATGACCTTCACGGCATGGAGAAGGGAAGGGGACAAGACATGAAATGAGAAAGTAAACAATGATTACA